GGACAGCTTGAGGCTCTGTCTCAAAAAAAAAAAAAGAAAGAAAGAAAATGTAAAATTACATATCTGTTTTTCATTATATTTCTATTGAAGTGAGGGTTTTTTGTTTTTTGGTTTTTCTAAGACAGAATCTCACTTTGTTGCCCTCGGTAGAGCGCTGTGGCATCACAGCTAACAGCAACCTCCAGCTCTTGGGATTAGGCGATTCTCTTGCCTCAGCCTCCCGAGTATGAAGTGAGGGTTTTGAACAATGCCAGGATTCTGGCTTGGCATCACCTCGTTTGAGAAGTCCAGGTCATACCTTACTCCAGGGGTCCTCAAACTTTTTAAACAGGGAGCCAGTTCACTGTCCCTCAGGCCATTGGAGGGTCGGACTGCGGGCCCCAGGATGAGTCGGCTGCTAAGCAGGACAGGCAGCGGTGGCAAAACAACCGGCAGGCTGGATAAATGTCCTCAGCCGGCCTCATGTGGCCCGTGGGCCGTAGTTTGAGGACGCCTGCCTTACTCTGTTAGAGACTAGGTCCTTCCCAGACCAAAGAGTTGTGCACAGGATACCCCAAGCCTTAAAGGGCCTCTTGACCCCTGGCTACTGCTCATGCTGTTTCTCACCATCCCCACCCTCACTCCCATTCTCCTCTTCAGCCAAATTGTACAGTAGCCTGGTTCCTGTCCTGCCAACTAGAGATGATGTTTCTATATGATCTTGGTGCTTGGTTGCTCAGCCTGTATGTCTACTGAGAGCCTGAATTCCTGCTGTGTATCCTTCTCAAGATGCAGCCGTGACTCTGATCTGCTTCATTCACAGAATCTATATTCATAAAATGCCAAAAATATTAGAGAACAGTAAGTAGTTTAATTATCTGGTTCTGGGCTCCAAATCCTTATGGATTAGCTACTTCATGTGCTATAATGCCCAACATCATCCTCCCTACCTCAGGCCTGCCTTATCTTGGTACCTATAAATGTGTACCCTGAGATCTGAATCTTTTCATCAAGCTGTCTTCAAATGTTGATTTGTTTTTTTCTCCAAGAGACTTCATTATAAACACCCAACCCTAGTGTCCCAGTAACAATGACAGTAATATTCCAAATGTAAACTATTTTTTTTTTTTTT